TGTTTTGAATAAGTACAGTCTGCTTTTTGCTCAACCATCGTTTCGCACTTTAACTGTTTGTGCACTAGAAGAAAATGTTTACATATAAAGTTGTTTGGTGCTCGAAGGTGCATAATCTAAAAATATTTTTGTCTATACAGGGTGTTGCAAAAACAAAGTACAAGGTACAACTTCGTAAATTTAAATGGAACACCCCATATTTTATTACATTTTTGAATTACCCTTAAAATTCGACATACTTTTTGTTAAGCATTACCTATACCAAAATTTATTTATATTTATTACCGTTTTTAAAATATTCAACATTTTGTGAAAAAATCTCCGTCTGCACGTGTCTATAAAAGAAAGCATACCCAATTTATTTAAGACCCTACGAAGCAAATCTTTTGAAGATTATTAATGCATAGTTACAGTAACTTCCTGCCCCTATAAAAATCTGGTAACCTTCTACAGGGTGTTCGTAATATTGTACTCAAAACCAGAAACTTGAAATAGCTATATCTCATTTTTTTTTAAATGGAATGCCTCATATTTTTTATCTTAAATTATTCGCCAAGTAATAAGGTTTCTTTTTTATAAATACCTATTTGCAATAGTTATCAAGTTATTTACGCTTTTTACAAATTTCTACTTTAATATCCATTTGATTTCAAAAAATGTTTGTTGGTTGGCTATGAAAATAATAATTGATGACAATAAAGCAAAAGAATGCTTTGAATTTGACAGTCTGCTAAATTTGTACAAACTAATAATGTTCAATATGAATTTTTCAAGAGATGAATTAATAAAAATGGTTTACTGTTTGGGTGCAAGTGATGAAAATTGTTTATTAGCAAGTAGAATTTATGCACAAAGGTTTCCAGAAGCTGAACGCCATCCAAATTGTTTAGCATTCGAGAGACTTAAGGAAAGATTCAAAAGAACCGGCAATGTAAATGCCGGTTCTTTCGATGAATGAGTCAAAATTACAAAGAGAGAAAACAGCAGCAAGTACAGAAAATGAAATGTTAGTCATGCAAGCCGTAGTAGAGAATCCGCATATTTTTTGCAGACAAATTGAGCAACAGACAAAATTATTATTCAACATAAATTCCATCCTTACCATATACTACTTGTTCAAGAGTTATCTAATGAAGATTGTGTAAATCGGAGGAATTTTTGCCTTTGGGCGTTAAAAAAAAAATCAACAACAACTTTACTTTTTTAATTATGTATTGATGACAGACGAAGCTACTTTCCATAAAAATGGATTTGCAAACCGTCACAATTTTCATTACTACTCTCATGAAAATCTAAGATATCTGAGAGCATTAGACCATCAACACAGATGGTCACTTAATGTATGGGGCGGCATCATGGGAACAAAGGTATTCGGGCCATATTTTTTTAATGAAGCTGTAAATGGTCAGAACTTTCTAAATTTCTTGCGGACTGATTTGGAGAATGCTTTCGAGGATTTACCACTTCAAACGGTGAGGCGAATGTGGCTACAGTTAGATGGAGCGCCTTCCCATTTCAGTCGTCCTGTGAGGGAGTATTTAAATTTACACTTTCAAAACAAATTGATTGGTAGGGGAGGACTGGTTTCTTGGCCACCCAGATCTCCAGATCTATCAAAACTTGATTTTTTCTTATGGGGTTTTGTGAAAAATCGAGTTTATCAAGTGCCTGTTACTACCATAGAAGATATGAAGGAAAGAATTAAAAACGTTTTTAACGAAGTAAGCTGCGAAATGCTGCAGAGAGTAAGCAATTCCTTTGTTAGAAGAATTTGTTTGTGTGAAGAACGTCAAGGCAGACACATTGAAAATTATGTATAGTGTTACTTTGTTGTGTTTTTTTATGGTATTTGTTCAGAAACGTTGCCGTTTGTTGACTTTAATAAAATATTTCCATATGTTGCCAATTCCATATTTTTCGTTGTCTTTTGAAAATTTTTATATTACTTTTTATGTACATAAGCATTACTCGATTGGACTAGTCCACAAATTCTGAAATTCATCTCTTGAAAAGTTTATATTGAATTTCTTTGCATTTTTTTGCTTTGTTGTTATCAATTATTATTTTCATGGCTAACCAACAAAAAAATTTTGCATTCAAATGGGTATTAAAGTAGAAATTTGTAAAAAGCGTAAATAATTTGATAACTATTGCAAATAGGTATAGGACATGCTGTATAAAAAAGAAACCTTATTACTTGGCGAATAATTTAAGATAAAAAAATATGAGGCATTCCATTCAAAAAAAATGAGATATAGCTATTTCAAGTTTCTGGTATTGAGTACAGTATTACGAACACCCTGTAGAAGGTTACCAGATTTTTATAGGGGCATGAAGTTACTGTAACTATGCATTAATAACCTACAAAAGATTTGCTTTGTAGGGTCTTAAATAAATTGGGTATGCTATCTTTTATAGACACGTGCAGACGGAGATTTTTTCACAAAATGTTGAATATTGGTATAGGTAATGCTTAACAAAAAGTATGTCAAATTTTAAGGGTAATTCAAAAATGTAATCAAACATGGGGTGTTCCATTTAAATTTACGAAGTTGTACCTTGTACTTTGTTTTTGGAACACGCTGTATAAACAAAAATATTTTTAGATTATGCACCTTCGATCACCAAACAACTTTATACAAGGTGTATCTGAATGACTGCAACAAACTTCAAGGGGTGATTCTTTAGTGAATTTTAAGTGTACTTTGATATATGAACCATGGGCGACTTCGGCTCCCCTAAGGAGGTACACCCCTCCAAAAATAGCGGAAAATTTTGGTTTAATTTCTTTTTCTCAAAAACCATAAACGCTAGGAAAATGAAATTTGGGGAATATGTTTAACTCATAATAGGGCACGTTTTGACCGTATTTGTACTTTCAACCTACCCTTCTAAACTACTAAACGTAATCAACCCCGTTCAATTTATACCTAGATTTCTTTTATGAAAATGATAAATACATTGGAAAAATTTTAGTTAGATAGGTAAAACTATTCTAAAACTTTTTTATCTCTCTGAAGTTCTTCGAAAATTTAATAATTTCTGAGAAAAAAAATAATTAAGCAAACACTAACTGTTAAGCTGTAGGGTTGTTAATCGAAAGTTGGANAGACAAACACGTTATCTTCATTATATATCTCAATTCACTTCAGACATCAGGTATATTAAAGGCGATTCTAACATTATTGCAGACACAATGTCACGCATTAATATAGAATCCCTCAATTTTTCTTATCCTGATTTAAAAGAGATTAAACATGCTCAATCTACAGATCTTCAGTTACAACATCTCTTACAAGCCCAATCGCGAGGTAATACTAATTTTACACTCGTTGAAGAAAAATCAGTTTTTCCTGATATAACTCTTTGGTGTGATGTCTCAACATCCATTCCTAAAATTTATATTCCCGAAAAATTTCGCAAACAAATTTTCCAAAAATTTCACAATGTTTCACATCTTGGTATACGTGCAACTCGTCATTTATTAAAGATGCGTTTCTTTTGGCCCCACATGAGTAAAGACATTTATCTTTGGACTAGATCATGTATACCATGTCAAAAAACTAAAATTAATAAATATACAAAATCTCCTATAGAGCATATAAATGTTCCACAAGGAAGATTTCAACATATACATATAGATCTTGTTGGACCTCTTACTCCTTCTTCTGGTTATTCATATATTTTAACTGTTATTGAACGTTTTACTCGATGGCCAGAAGCTTTTCCGGTTATAGACACTTCAGCAAGCACCATAGCAAATACACTTTTTCAAAATTACTTTTCACGATTTGGTATTCCGCACACAATTACTCATGACAAAGGGCGACAATTTGAATCTCAACTTTTTTCAAAATTTGCCATGTTAATTGGTGCTACACAAATTAGTACTTCTGCTTATCATCCGCAAAGCAATGGAATTTTGGAGAGATTTCATCGTACACTCAAAAATTCCATTGTTGCACGTGGTAGTAGCAACAGGTGGTTTCACGATCTTCCAATAATTTTATTAGGACTCAGATCTTCTTTAAAAGAAGATCTGGGATGTTCTTCTGCTGAACTTGTGTTTGGACAACCGCTTCGTCTTCCAGGCGAATTCTTTCTTAAGTCAAACTCTTCGATAGACACAGATCAACTTCTTATTAGCCTGCGTGAATCTTTTGCAAACTTGAGACCAACTCAGACTAACTTTCATTCAAAATTAAAACCTTTCATACACAAAGAATTGTTTAAATCAAATTTTGTTTTTGTAAAAATTCAAGGAATAAAAAATTCTTTATCGTCCAGATTTGAAGGTCCTTTCAAAGTTATTAAGAGAATGGATAAATACTTTGTTATTCTAAAGAATAATCGCCACACTTCAATACATATTGATCATTTACAACCAGCATTCTTGTTGAATGAAACCTTGCATGATATTAATACTGTTAAAGAAAATCCTAAAAAAGTAAAATTTTCCTTTTTATAATTTTAACAAATACTTATTATTTCAATGTTATTATAATGTCTTTCTTGTGCAGAATAAAGACAATTGTTACCACCCTCCATGGATTTCCTTTTCTTCTTCGTTCTTTTTATTTTTATGTCTGAAACATTGTCATTAATTTAAATTTTTAATATTTTATTGAAGGGGGGAATAATTGTAGCGCATCACGCACTCTTATTATTTTTATATAAAAACATCGTGTTATATCACCATGGGTTGTTATATCAACATAATGTATTTTCCCATGGCGATTTTGTTATAGTCATAAAATAATAAATAAACGGATGGGATTTCCAGGAAGACCAGGACGCCATAAATTGGCTTACTGATGGAAATACCCTTTGGCAAACTCTATACTTAATTATTTTAATGTATTACTTATATTGTAGTATTCTTTTATGCCAATAAACTATTATTATTATTATTATTAGGAATAAACTAAAATTATAATATTATTAATAGTGTATATTATTATTACATAGGTATTAATATTGTTTTAAATTTTTTTATTTAGGGTTCCGTGGAACACTGTATGATTGGCGTACAATTACTCTCCCAACTCACATGTGAAATGAATCAAATATCAGAAGTGGAAGCAAATCGATCGTTAACCAAACATAGAAAGATAGCATCATCATTTCGGGACACACAACTCTTCGAAATATTCCGTTTATCATGTTCCCTTTTGGGTACGGCTCGTGAAAATTGTAAAAACCTAAATTTTAACGACGAAAGTCAACACGGTCTGATGACCCAACTGTTACGATTGGCCCAAAATTGTTTAACGTTTGATTTTATTGGGACGGCCACGGATGAATCTTCCGATGATTTGTGTACCGTTCAAATCCCGACTAGTTGGAGACCGGCGTTTCTTGATTTTACCACTTTAAAATTATTTTTCGATCTTTATCATTCGTTACCGAATACTTTATCTTCTTTGGCTCTTTCCTGTTTGGTTCAAATAGCTTCCGTGCGGAGATCGCTGTTTAGTAATACGGAAAGAGCCAAGTTTTTAACACATTTAGTGAATGGGGTGAAACACATCCTACAAAATCCTCAAGGATTAAGCGATTCAGCTAATTATCACGAGTTCTGTCGATTGTTGGCACGGTTAAAATCGAATTATCAATTGGGTGAATTGGTGATGGTTGATAATTATCCAGAGGCGATACAATTAATTGCCAAGTTTACGGTTCAAAGTTTACAAATGTGGCAATTTGCGCCGAATAGCGTGCATTATTTACTTAGTTTATGGCAGAGAATGGTGTCTTCTGTTCCGTATGTTAAAGCGACGGAACCTCATCTTTTGGAAACGTATACGCCGGAAGTAACGAACGCTTATATTACGTCGAGGTTGGAATCGGTGGCGGTGGTCGTTCGGGAGGGACTTGAAGATCCGATTGAAGATTTGGGGATGGTACAACAACAGCTTGAACAACTTTCAGTTATCGGGCGGTGTGAATACCAAAAAACTTGCACTCTACTTGTTCAATTATTTGATCAGGCTGCAAGAGCGTATCAAGAATTAATATCAAGTCCGTCACAACAAATAGAAATTACAATACAAGAAGGTACATTATTTGATTAATTAATTATTATTGTAATAACGTATTTTTTTGTGTTAAGGTCGTCTAACGTGGTTAGTGTACATAATAGGATCTGCAATAGGTGGAAGAGTTTCGTTTAACAACAATGATGAGCACGACGCGATGGATGGTGAATTAGTTTGTCGCGTCCTCCAATTAATGAACCTGACCGATTCCCGATTGGCGCAGGGAGGCTGTGAAAAACTTGAACTGGCTATGCTCAGTTTCTTTGAGCAATTTCGTAAAATTTATGTTGGCGATCAAGTACAAAAAAACTCGAAAGTTTATCGAAGACTTTCCGAAGTTCTCGGATTAAACGACGAGGCCACTGTACTCAGTGTTTTTATTAGAAAAATGTAAAGTTTCACCAACAAACTTAAGTCAAAAAATATAAAGCATTCTTTTAATTGCAGAATAACAAATTTGAAATATTGGTCGAGAAGTGAACAAATAATTAGTAAAACATTACAATTATTAAACGACCTCTCGGTTAGTTACACGTGCGTTCGGAAATTAGTTAAACTCGAAGAAGTCCAGTTTATGTTAAATAACCACACTAGCGAACACTTTCCGTTTTTGGGAAACGCGGTGGCCATTTCAGAAATGCGCTGCCGATCGATGTTTTACACTTCTTTGGGTCGATTATTGATGGTCGATCTAGGCGAGGATGAGGATCGCTTTATGAGTTTTATGTTGCCATTAACAGGTAAACATTTTTCATTTAAAAATTGTTAAAAATCGTTTAATAAATCTTAAACGAAATGATTTTTTCCAATTTGTAATTTTATTTTTAATTTTAATGATCATTATTTTTTTGAAGCTTCTTTTGAGAATATTGGATCGTTGTTGAGTTCGGCTGAAAGTTCAATGTTTGCAACTGATGAAACGAAAAAAGCGCTAATTGGCTTAGCTAGGGATTTAAGGGGGCTTGCGTTCGCTTTTAATACCAAAACGTCCTACATGATGTTATTTGATTGGATGTATCCTTTATTATATATTTTTGTTGGTTTATAGACAAATTCTAATCCAAATAGGTTAATGTATCTAATTTAGATGATAACAATCACATTTTTAGGTATCACTCAATACTCTTTTTGCTAATATTTATTTAATTATACAAATTGCTAGTACTACAGAGCGTTCAACAATGATTGTAAGGTGTTTCAATTGAATTGATGATTGAAGAATGTTTGTGTTTAATTTTTAAGGCTGGTATGAGAAAACTAATTAGTATAGGCGTATCATAGGAAAAATTCTGAAGGCATTAAAAAATTTATGTTTAAAATTTATCAATGTGTAACTTTATTAACAAAATTTAAAAATGTGTATGAAATCAATTGATATTTATTCAGCCGGCATCAACGTTGTTTGTCAAATGTTACTAAAAGTCAAGCGCGCCAAATTCAACCACCTTACAATCATTCTTGAACGCTCTGTATAAAGATACAATATTTTATTGTTTTCAGCGCCATTGTTTTTGCATTATTAATTCGCGATGTTTATTCCTTTAAATATGAAATTGTTTATGAAGAAGATCCGTATATCTGTTTGGTAACCGATTATTGTTTCTTTTTTCTTGAGATAAAAAGTTCTATCTCGCCACATCTTTGGTGGTTTTCCACGTGGACGTTTTCTTTCTGGGTTTCGTTCCATTACCATTATTATTATTATTGCAGTCAGACTGAGGGGAGCGACCTCTCTCGTTACCGCGACCTATAAGATGTATTATAATTTTAGCCCTCCAAAAGTTTAGGGCAAATGTAGGTCTTACTCTTGCCCCAAGGTCTTGTTCCTTTATGTCGGTAGGTGTCAAAAGAACTTTACCGAAAATTTTGTGTCTAGACGGCCTCTGGCGACGCAATTACACAGTATATGTCCAGCCGTTTCTGACTCGTCGTTGCAAAGTCGACAAGTTTGATCCTCAGCTTGTCCAATGTGGAAGAGGTGGTATTTATTTTTTTCCCAATTATCCCAAAAAGAACACAAGGGTCCAGCACAGGATATAATTCAGCACAAGAAAAGTGTGACTTACAAACAAAACAAAACTTATAAGTATAACTACTCTACAACAACCAAAATAAATCATATCACAAAATAATTAAAAATCATAAATTTACGAAATTTACGAAACATGACTAATCTGTAGATATAATGTTCTTGATATACCGGGTGTCCCTCAAAAGTGGCTCACCCTCATATTTTTCTTTATTATTGGTGATATAAGAAAATTATTTGGAATGCATAGTTAGGTCACTAAAACGGATTATTACGACATGAAATCATTCTTTTTGTACTTCCGGTTATACCGGATGTGAGTACTAATTTCGCTATTTTTTTAAATCTNTCCTTTATTATATATTTTTGTTGGTTTATAGACAAATTCTAATCCAAATAGGTTAATATATCTAATTTAGATGATAACAATGACATTTTTAGGTATCACTCAATACTCTTTTTACTAATATACATTTACTTATACGTATTGCTAGGACTATAAAGATACAATATTTTATTGTTTTTAGCGCCATTGTTTTTGCATCATTAATTCGCGATGTAAACAAATATGAAGTTGTTTATGAAGAAGATCCATAGATCTGTTCGATAACCGATTATTGTTTCTTTTTTCTTGAGATAAAAAGTTCGAACTATCTCGCCACATCTTTGGTGGTCTTCCGTGGGCGTTTTCTTTCTGGGTTTTGTTCCATTACCATTATTATTATCATGGGCTGAGGGGAACGGCCCCTCTCGTTACCGCGACCAATAAGATCTATTGTAATTTTAACTCTCCAAAAGTTTAGAGCAAATATGAACTGTTGTGGAGTGCGTTTTAGGTTAATTAAAATAAAAAAAGGCCAGGAGAAACTTAAGATGTAACAAAAAACGTTTTTATTCTTTAATAACAACTTTTACTATTTTTACTTATACCAATCCACACGTGGTCACTTACACACAAGATTAACGATTGCCAACTTCGTCTCTTACAAAAACCCTATTTCAACATGAACAAATGATGAACCTTAGTATTACTCCAGGGTCTTATTCCTTTATGTCGGTAGGTGTCAGGCGAACTTTAACGAAAATTTTGCGTCTTAGGCGGCCTCTGGCGACTCATTCACACAGTATATGACATGATGACAGATATATGAGGAGTCTGTGACTCGTCGTTGCAAAGTCGACAAGTTTAATTCTCGGCTTCTCCAATATGGAAGAGGTGGTATTTTAGGGGCGCATGGCCGGTCAAAAAGCCTGAGTGCGACCTTAGATCCCCTTTGCTGAGGTATAAAACCTGTTTGGTTTTGTTTTGCAACTGAGTTATCATACTCTTCGCCTGTCTGTGACCTGGAAGTTCTTTCCAACGTGAGGCTACCTTTGAGGCCTTCCAACTATTGATTACTTGTTTTAAGTGGCTTTTTTTTGTAGTCCATAGCCGGGTTGGGGTCCAATAAAGGGCGGTCTCGCTGCTTCTAATAAATTTACTGCTGGTGATGATAATCATCCTACATTTGTTATTTATTATTGTTGTACAGTTTTTTGCCGCTTCGCTTCATTTCATAATTAATTTATTCTTAAGCATTGTTCGTTTAGTAAACTTTGAAACCGTTCCCGCATTGCTCCTGTATTCAAACATCACGAACGTGCCGACATTACTGATTATCTACCGATATCATACTGTCCTATTTCGCTAAAGTATTTGAACAGATTATTTACATGATTTATGCGCACGTTCAGTAGTCATTTGTATCATCATATCAACATGGGTTTATCAAGCGTCGTTTAACGATTACCAATCTTGAGTTGGTTACCTACTGAAGTGATTTGTGATCTTTATGTATGGGTGGTCAGGTGGATGTGGTGGTATACACTGTCTTTTCTAAGGCATTCAATATGATTCATCATGACGTCCTCTTATATAAACTTAGTGCTTTTGGCTTTTCCGAGTCGGATGAAATATGTGTACTATTACGGTTATGCTTCTGTAGAGTTTACTCAAATTTAGGCCCCTACTTATCTTCTTGAATGACCTTCTAGAGTCTAGAATTTGTCTATCTAGACAAATTCTCATCTAACGTACTAGCATATGCGTATGATCGGAAACTATTTCGACCTATTTTTTCGGACCGTGCTGTTATCGGTCTCAGTCGGACTTGGACTTCTTGGTAGAATGGTTTAATCGTTATCAGCAAAGATTAATACTAATAAGTGCGGTGCCGTTAGTTATACACGCAAGGTGTCTCCTCTTCCTTCCGCTTATTATATAAAAAGTGTTTTTCTAGAGAAACTATCTACAATCAGCGATCTGGGAGTTGTTTTTGACCGCAAATTGTCTTTTGTATCTCACAGTGAAGATTGCATCTTCCGCAGCAGGAACGCTTGGTTTTGTTTTACGTACCTCACGTGCCTTTTCTAACATCAATGTGTACAAGTCCCTGTTTCTGAGCTTTGTATTGCCCAAAATGCAATATGGCACTGTAATTTGGTCACCGTATCCTGTTAATGACTTTTGAAATTTCAAAACCGTGTTTCTGCACGGTTTTGAAATTGTTTATAGCAAGTACTTCTGCTTGATAAATGGTTATGTCCGAGCCGAGGGGCAATTTAATGCGGTAATTTGGTCCACTAATGCCCATATCTGCTCCGGATCCAACTGTGTTTGAAGCATCCGTGTACCAGGCAAGGGCTCCTCTTTTTAGTTGAGGCCCACCCTTCGTCCAATCATCCCTACTTATGACCTTATACGGCTGGTCGAAATAGTATTCTGTCGGTATAAGGTCCGTTTTAATTTCAATCAAGTGTTTTAGACATGGGTCCTTGAGGATTTCGAGGTGTCTTCTGAGGTTATCCTGCATCAACTTGAGTGAAGAACCTATTTTCAGTGATAAGGCACTTAAAGCTGTCACCTTTTGTATGTATAAATGGAGTGGTGTGAGACCGAGTAGGGCTTCAAGAGCAGCCGTCAGACAAGATCTCATTGCACCCGTTATATTAAGACATACTAACCGCTGAATTATACCGCGAGATTTGTGCCATAATGGCCTTTTTCCTTACCTTGTCTATGCGAGATTTCCTGTTTAATTTACTGTCTAGTATTACTCCTAGGCATTTAACTTCTGTTATGAAGTTAATAGTTCTGTTTTCAATGAAGGGTGCTCTCAATCGTCCATTTTCATTCGGGCTATCCTGTTCATGTCTATCCTTTTTAAGTGTTACGTTCAGCGATGAGGATGTTTATCTTGCATACTCTACAACCGCAATATATCCGGGTGACTTGCATCAGTTACCGTGCTTCATTCACCTTTTGCTACTGACAATTTCCCGTGGATTTTTAATGCCTCATCCTCGCACTATTGATGATTTACTTTCCTGGATATCAACTTAGCACCGAAATTTTCATTTTCCAATGCTTTCTGCATTTGGACGCAAAATTCCAGGCGACGAACATGATCATTCGGCGGTAAGTGCTGCAGGTTTTGCATACAGTACGGTTTGAAATGTTGATGTTTGAAAAGATTGCTTCAAATCCAATGTTTGTTTGGTCATTCGTTAAACATTGAGAGGGGGGAATGATATTTCTGCCACTGTTACTCATAACGTTGTTGTTACTTTCACTCTGCCTTTACGCTGAGTCAGACTGGTATTGTGTCTAACAACCACCTTAATTTTAAGTGAGATTGCATGATATACTTTGAGCGTTCGGAGGTTGAGGAGGCTTTGAGGGGAATTGATGCGTCAGGAGGACTGGGACCAGATTGTATTCCTGCCATCATAATTAGAAGTTGTAGTGAGTCACTATCTTTTTCTTTAACTGGGCTATATAACCGATCAGGAGTTAAGTTCTAGTTCTATTTCTTTGTTGTCATTATTTAGTGAAATACTTGGAAATATGTATACATATATTTTTAGATATAAGGAAAAATATCGCCCAGAACTCAATAATATTAATATTATTCTTTCTTTCAAATTTTAACAAAATAATACACAATGCCAACGGCAACTGCCGGTCGGTGCACAGCCAGACAACAATATGTGTCCCCAGATAAACATCCTTCATCTCTCTCACTTCTATCGGTTATTCTCTAACACGCTCATTCCTGACGACCACGTCGATCTCGAAGGGGCTCCTTTCCTAATTTGTAATCATAAAAGTTTCTATAGCAGTAACAGCTCAGGCTATCTGCATTTCTATCACATAATGCGTATCAACCACAATAATGTAATTCTTTCAAACTTTGCGTGAAACATAGTGAAACCACAGCCATCACCTTGGCTCTACCACTAACGGGACAGACCAATTTCTCCTTTTTTTTATAATCATCTGATGGAAACCTCAGCAACCATAGAGCTCTACCACTAACGGGACAACGACCTAGCACAATACCTCTTTTTTTATAATCATCTGATGGAAACCTCAGCAACCATCGGGCTCTACCTCTGACGGGACAGAGACTCAACAATCAATCATTCACAGCTAAACTTCAATCTTAGTAACTAACGCGAATTTAATACCAAGCAAGTATGTCCTAAAATGCTTTAGTGCTGCCACAATGGACAGTGTTTCCAACACATAAGAGTGTAATTTGGACTCGCTTTCGGTAGTCCTTTTGCTGAAGAAAGCAATTACCTTCAACCTATCTTCGTGTTTCTGTATTAGTTCATCTCCGAATCCTAGACTACTCGCATCGGTGTGAAGTTCAGTTGGCGCATTCACATAAACTCTGGCTTCTGTCTGATTAGGTCCCCAAACAAAAGAAACGTTCTTTTTAACTAATCTGAATATGCAGGCTGTTTTCGAAGCAAAATTAGGAATGCATTTTCGAAAATATCCTGCCAACCCCATAAATTGCCGGACTTCTTTCACGTTAGTAGGAAAAGGAGAACTTATTGTCGTTTGTATTTTCCGTGTTCCTGGTCTAATACCATTAGTTGATATTTCTCTCCCGAGATACTCAATAGAGGATTGCAAAAAGCAACATTTAGAAATATTTAAAGAGAGCAGTCTTGTAAACGGAGTCTTTATCAATTTTAATTTGATGGAAGCCAGAAGCCATGTCTAACGCTGTAAAATAATCTCCTTTCCTCAGTCGGTCCAACTGGTCTTCGATTAACATCCTTCATCTCTCTCACTTCTATCGGTTATTCTCTAACAATATATACAATTGGTAATGTGTAGTGCTTCACAGATGGAGAAGTATGTGTTGTTGTGATCGATCCGAGATTTCATCCCTTCTTGCTGTTGGTTTCCTTTCGAAAGGGGCAAACGTTTCGCCAAGATCTCACCTGGCATCTTCAGTGCGTTGTCGTAGTCTCCTGTCAGCAGACTGCGTACTGTTACAATAGAGTACACATTTTACGCATATTTTAAGACACAAAAACTTTTTTCCTGCTTTGAAATAAACAAGTGTATCCTATCCCTGCTTTCCATCAACTCGATCGATTCTTTTTTTGTAACAATGCTGTCTTTTGGTTCGTTCATAAGATACTTTAACGTCGCCTGAGTGTCTCAGTTTGCCTTTTGAGTCTCTTCGTTGATAGTGATTGTAATTTAAGAACTGGACTTTTTGTGGTCTGTTGGCTATCGTTTTTATGTCGTGTTTCAATTATTTCTCTTATTTACTTTGGGCTCGTTAATGGTACACTCACTTTCATTGATAGTTTTTTTTATTGTTCCTGTTGATAATTCAGAATAAAAAGTACTTGAACTTGAATTATTTACCCTACTATTTTCCAGAACTAATCTCATTAGTTGGTGAATGTACATATTTTACTTTGTTATAACATTCAATTAGACAGTTTGTTAATAAATCTATATCCTCTTTAGTAAATTCTTCCACCAACAATCTACCTATAATCATTCATTAACTTTCTTCCTTGTAATATAAATCACGAACAGTTCTATCCGTTGATATCTTGGCTTATATAATAAATCTCATCCGCCACCTTTTGAATCACTGCTATGATTTTCGTTGGTGACTTTGAAGGATGTAATGTTTCGAATTATTTTCCTATCATTCGTACTAAGTCGGAGTTCACTGGAAATATTCCGAGCGGATCGCAACAAACTCCTACTGCATTATAATTGAAGTAACTAAATATTATTGTATTTTAAAATGTAGATAAAGTCATTGATTTATGAATCCATCTCTGTTACCACATCGATGATGAATCTTGGCAAATATGGCACAATATTTCATGTCGGTAATATGGACTTTTGAAATCACATTGTTGGCCAGCTTTGTTGATGGAATTGGAGACGTAATCTTCTCTTTTCGGAAATCATCTCAGCATTCACAAATCTTTTGACGAATGGCAATGTTGGTGATGGAGTCGTAATTCGTGTTTGGAATAACAGGTTTTATGCGGCCCATAAGAATTGCCGAATATGATAAATACTATTGATTGATTAAAAGATTTGGATGTTCTTTGATTCTCCGTTTCATTTTATGTCTTGTTACATTGTTTCTTCGTGCTGGAAGTTCTTGCTGTGCCTAATATTTATTTAGCGTATGGCATATATAAAGCACAAAGTATGAAATTATATGAAATTCATAAAATATGTAAAAACATAATAGTTAATAGGAAGTACAACCAAAATCTAAAATTTTATATCCAATTCAGTTGAGGGTTAGCATATCACAATATGTTGTCCTCCACGCTGGAGAGGTTGTTTTGGTGTTCCACAGTTACGCTCAAATGATGGCAGCACTCCCAGTTTGTAGAGGCTACAACCACAGACCATGTCTCATACATACTTTTTTGAGAACCTTCCGTGAGTGGCGGGGAACTCCAAATCCTTTTGGTTTTTGGTTGAGAAGGATCTGTTGGTTTATTTCTGGTGATACTTTGGCGTTCCAGTCTTTTTCCCGCTTAGAGTTAATGTTGTAGTTGTTTGTAGTCAGTTCCTTAGCAAAATTTCTCATGAATCAGCAGATTTCTGGTGATGGTTTGGAGGGGCCATACTGCTTAGCGTTGGGAACCAGTGAAGAGGAGTAGCTTTAAGATGTTCCTCTACTGATATTGTTGTCATAGTCGAGTTCAGTTCTGTGTCGATTTTTTGAGTAAATGGACCGTTTATCCATAGTGGCGCGCAGTATTCTTCAACAAAATAATCTAGAGCAGGACAGAACATCGCATCGTGGTTTTTTAAATAAGAGTGTTTAGTCCAAGGTAGCATCTAAGTATTTGAGAAAATCTTGTTGCTACAGCGTTCTGTTATTACAACTGACCTGGATTAAAATTGATTAAACAAAGTGCAATCATTTGTTGTGATCTAACAACTTTAGCCAAATTAGTATTTCAAGTTATTGGTCACAACGCTTCAAATACTTGTCGCGGCTAGATGCTGAGGAAAGCATTTTGCTCAAGAAGTGAAGTGTAACGATAAACATTTAACGTTTTGTTTGCATTTAGTTTTGTTATTAACATGCCAAGGCAACTATGTTGTTCAGTAAGCTTCCTTTAATTTAATTCGATCCTAATTCAATCGAAACATTGGGACATTTCTTGACACAGTTAATTTCCATCAAATATTAAAATCAGTTTAACTAATCACAACTATTTTTGAAGAAAATATTTCTTAACCCTACATTTAGATATCCTGGTTATACACCAATATTACTTAGGGCAATAGAACTATGGTACCATGATCCACAGGTGACAACGCCAATACTAAAATTATTTGCTGAACTAGTACAGAACCGGTCCCAAAGGCTATTATTTGACGTTTGGTCACCAAATGGTATCTTACTTTTCAGGGAGGCTAGTAAAATAGTCTGTAGTTACGGTAAGTTATTGAAACATAACGGTCTTAAAAGCAACTGATAATTTTTGTCCTTTTGTTTCGATTTTTTTAAAGGTAGTAGAATATTAAATGTAGAGGTGCCTAAGGACCAAACGTATCCGCTCAAGCTGAAGGGAATCTCGATATGTTTTTCGATGCTTAAAGCGGCATTGTGCGGCAATTACGTCAACTTTGGTGTGTTTAGATTGTATGGGGACGAAGCGCTCGACAACGCCTTAAACATTTTCGTCAAATTGTTACTGTCGATTCCCCAATCAGATTTATTGGTAAGAAAAATGTAAAAAAATTGTTTGTATTTTATCAAAATTTAATTTTTAGGATTATCCGAAATTATCACAAACATATTATTTGCTGTTGGAGTGCCTGGCTCAGGATCACATGAGTTTCCTATCGACGTTGGAGCCTCACGTGTTTCTCTACCTTCTCTCGTCGATATCGGAGGGCCTCACGGCTTTAGGTGCGCAACTCAATAACTACACAGGTCTGTACGGCTCAGGGACAAAAGCAGCACAAATATTAAACAAAAAAAAACGAAACTTCATCATGATGTTTGCTTTAATATCATTTTCTTGACTGATATCTTCTATTCTTCTCTTTTTCGATTTTAACTATTTAACATTCAATATTTTTATATACAATGTTTTTATTTTACATGAAACAAAAAAATTCTTTAAATTGAATTAATATGTATGACTGGTTTAGTCCAAAGAAAACATAATAATTTTAAGATTCATAAAAATAAGGTTTAATTAGCTAAATTTACATGATTAAGTTGAAATTTTGAAAAGGATTTAATGACAACAACCTTCTTGTCCATATTGTTTTTATTTAATTGGTAACACAATCATCAAACAGAATTCACAATCGTAAAAAGAAACAAGAAGGTAGACATAGAGTACAACTTTTGTTGTTGGCTCTGTTGATATGTATGTGTAATACATTTTCTAATCTATCTAAAGTGCTGCAGCCTTTTGTTGAATTTAAACTATTGGTGTTAAAATCATGAAGCCAACAAATGTTATGATGAAAGTCCTTTAAGATCTTTACACCTTTGTTGTTCCATATCGACTCGTTTCTACTCAAACGGAGGAGACAAAAGAATTGATATAAAAGTTATAGATAAAAACTCATTATAATATCACTAACTAAGAATTACGCCTGGTTTATAGAAAAGTTTACTTCCAAATGGGTAAGTAAACATCTCAGTCGTCGTCCTGGATGCCAGTTAGCCCATAGTTCTGTTCTGCTGGGTGTTCTGTGGATGTGCCCCTTATGTTCTAATCTGTGGCATACCAGTAAAATTGTATATCACTTTTTGCATTGAATGCCAATCCTGTACAATCTTAGTTTAGGTTTGAGCGTTAAATCCTACTGTATTTGCTTGAAACAGGGCTCATTTTTTGTTATGTGCTCAAGCAATGCTGCGGAACAGAAAAAAATATTTAAAAACAAATAAAAGTTCAACAATTTTCTTCGTAGTCAGAGTCAACATATTCAAGAACCACTGAGGCTGCTATTTAATATAGAAAACCATCCTATATTTTCTACTGATTTTGGTTGGAATCTTTTGATATGGTTTAAACCAATTGATGATCCCAAACGTGTCATGCCAAGACATAACTTATATCTGATGAGCTTTTCACAGATTATGTTAGTTATAATCTTCTGAACACGAAATCATGGTTTGAATCATTGTAACAGTTTGGTCTATGTTGAGGTAATACATGCCTGTATTGAGTTTGTCATATAATGGGGCAACTTTGGAAACTTCATCATTTTCGATCATGGCCATGCTTCGTGAGATGTTAAAATTCTAAAAAATAAAAAAAAAACAGCAACATACCATATTTATTACAGCATCCCAAAGAATACGGCAGATTTGTCTAATGGCCTTTATAGATTAAACAGGCACAAACTGGTGATAGAATTTAAGTTATCACAGTAAATGTATGTTGGTGGTCTGCATGTGCTGCGCTTTATTATTCTTGGGCGATACTACGTCACCCTCGCAGTCTATCTAGCTTTTTTTTGTCTGGCGACGGTGACCCACCCATTGCTATTTTAGGTCCGCGACTTGTGCTATTATGTACGAGTTCTCCGGCAGATATCCTTATTTTTGATTTTATCTCAAATTGATACCAAGCATAGCTCGATTTTATGCTCTTTTCTGCATAATCTGCAACTGGTTTACTCCTTTTTTCGTAATCGCGATAGTTTCCAGTTTGCAGGTCGCCACTGGCAGTACACATGAGTCATATATTTTACGCTTGAGGCTTATTGGTATATCATTGTTTCTCGGTATGTGTTTTAATTTGTCACGTCAATTGTAGTCTGCGTGTTTTGTTTTGATAAAGTTCATCTTTAGCCCCACTCCTTTGGTCGCTGTACTTAGTTCTTGGACATCGCTGGTGATTATGACGACATCTTCTGCAAAGTGTAGATGGTTTAAATAGGTCCCATCCATGTTAACCCATCCATGCCTTTGGTTTCCCATGAGAGTGGCTTGAGGGTGTTTTCGAGTGCCTAGGTGAAGAGGTTTTGGGAAACAGTGGCTCACTGGTATACACTTCTCTTAACTTGAATTTTATAGGTTGCTAGATCTTTGTTAATTTTGACTTGAAGTGTGGCGTTTGCATATATGT